ACATTAAATAAACATAACTAAATATAAAATTACATCAAAACGTAGCCTATGCACGTTTCGTTTCAAAGACGGGAGAACAGTAAATTTTGAAGACTGTTATTTTCATAATTTTCCTCTGTTCTCCTCCGCTTAAATCTCCACAACCGGAAAAGGACGACCATCCTTGCGTCAAATGCGGAACTTATGTGTGCATATAGCCCATTGATTGACACACACATTGACAACTAATGCAGGGGTTGTCCTCCAATGACATTGTTTTGTATCCCGCCAAAGCGCCTTGTTTGATTGCTAGTTTAACTTTTGACTGCTTTCTTTAATAATTAAATGACACAATACTTGTACTTTTACTTTTATGAATTTTAAAATAAACTACTTGCAATACTTAAGTACAAAAAATGTTGAATACTTTAGTACTTATACTTAAGTGTGGTGCTTAAAGAGCACTTCAAGTCACTTTTTTGATAGAGCACTTATAATTTTACTCAAGTCCGGGTTTCTAGTACTTTATACATCTCTGGTTTTAAGTGACCTACACGTGTAGTCAGTATAAAACTGAGGAAATATCTGTGTGAAAGGTCAAAATGATAGGCTTACAAAATCACAGAACAAAAAACATTAAAGCAAAAATATGAGCAGAGTGGGTGTGTGAGAGCAGCCGGGCAGATAAAGAGATGGTGTGGTCGTTGCAGGGGAGAGAGGGAGAGATGTGACTGGGTGTTTAATATAGATCCTCTAGTCTGATAAAACTGACAGGAGGTTCCCATTCCCAGAGGGGACTCATAGGAAATTGCCATGATGAAAAACAGAGAAAGAGAGAGAAGGGTTACATGACTGACACCCCTCATTACTCTGTATTTCTCTCTCTCTCTCTCTCTCTCTCTCTCTCTCTCTCTCTCTCTCTCTCTCTCTCTCTCTCTCTCTCTCTCTCTCTCTCTCTCTCTCTCTCTCTCTCTCTCTCTCTCTCTCAAATTAATTTAGAATTCTCTAGAATTTGTTACTTTTAAAGTATTCAGATATTTCTGTTGTTATGTTTTTTTTGGTCCAAAAACATGCTTGATATTGTACAACTTGTGAAAGCTGTAACTCAACAGCACTGTGTGTGTGAGTTCAGTTTGTGTGAGAGCAGAGGAGTATTTATTCAGTCTCTGGGTTCAGAGGCCCAGGCTTAAGTTCACATACAATGTATAAATTAGTTGCTGATGACAGAAACTCAGCATTATGCTTGTTATTATTGCACATTCAGAATTTGAGATGCATGTGACTCTCAGTGTAAAAACAGAAAACAGTCATTTGAATCACGAGTGAATCTCAATGCAATTCATTTATCATGAATTATATATATATAATTCATGATAAATTATATAATTATATAATAATAAACTAAATGTTTTCTATTTGTTTTCTATTAAATGTTATATATTTGAAAAATCTGAATAGACCCCATTAACCGGGTAATATGTTTAAAGTTTATAAACACATTGTAGTCCTTTAAGAATAATCTAACCATTTAAAAGACACCAAAATTAAAGCTACACTGTGTAACTCTTTTAGTTTATTCTTAATTAAAAACGCTTAGTTCTTTCAAAAAATATATGTGCTCATTAATGTATATTTACTTTGTTCAAGTAATAAAGTATTCTTGTGAGTGTATAATATGCCATTGAAAATACATACAGGTAAGGGGTTCTAACATAGATATCATATAGAGACTAGATAATCTATTGGCCCCTGGAAACCGAGAAATCTGGCCGCCATCTTGAACCGGTCGTATTCCTAGTTTCGTTGCGTTCAAACGGGCATTTACGTTTGAGTTAACACTCATGGATGAGGTCGAACTGGAAGCCATTTTATATCTTGGACTACATTGGCCACAGTAGGAGTTAAAACGAAATCGGAATTGAGAGGAACAGAAACTAATATTCACTGGATGGTCATATACCTTTTCACCGCTAGATGGGGGTAAAAATCAAACAGATATACATATTTGAACTCAGGTATGAAAATTAGATTTCCATTGGTTTGATAATGTATCTCTAAAAGAAGAAAATGTTCTTGTGGTTCACTGTGTGAAGTGTCTCCTCTAGGGAATTAGAAAGATGACTGATAGCTCTGTCCTCTGTGACTTGTGGTGGAGAGTAGAAGTGTGTATGTGTGCAATCTTCTCCTTAGAATGTCTGTGACCAAAACCTAATTTATCTGTGTCCAGCCCGATAACAGGCTCTCAGGGTGGAGTGTGGGATAAGTGGGTTTTCCAAAGATAGAGTGGATAGAGTGAATCAAGAATTAGCTCAAGGAAGTTAGACGTGATTCAGCTGCAATCAGTTGTTGTCAAAGAATTATTATGAATTATATATTTTTTTGATTTTATGTTTTGCCATAATTTTCATGACCACTACTGTTGAAAAAATGTGTGGGGGTCAGTAAGATTTTTGAATTCTCTTATGGCTTTACGTTTTAATATATTTTTTAATTAGGTTAAAATACAAATGTATAAATGAAATGTAAAATATTCCTGTGATGGGGAAGCTGAATTGTCGGCATCATTATTACAGTCTTCAATGTCACATGATCTTTTAGAAATCATTCAGATTTGATACTTACAAATTATTATGTTGAATACAGTTGTGTTGTTTAATATTTCATTTAAATTTTTTTGATAAATAGAAGGTTAAAAACTGTTTTTTTTTAATGTCGACATTTTGTATACACTATTAATGCCTTTACTGTCACTTTTGACCATTTTAATGGATCCTCGCTGAATATAAGCTTTAATTTATTTAAAAGCATCATACTGACCCCAAACTTTTGAACTGTATATTTATGATTTACTGGTTAAATATTTAATAAGAAAAGACAAATAGAAGTAAAAAACACTTTAAAAGAAATGATTTTTTTTTTTTTTTACTTCATTCACTTTTATTTTTTTTTAGAAAACATGATAATTCCATGCATGCTTGAAGTACCTTAAAGAAAATAACATTATGAATATGATACTTATTCAGTACCATGTAACTTTTTGTACTATTTCTTCTATGTAAGCAACAAATTCTGTACTTTGAACGAGCCAAATACCTCCATATTTATATGACAAACACAATAAAGACACACATCCATTATACATATACCTTTATTTTATATCTCTTAATAATTCATATATGTCTTTGTCCTATACATAATTTCTCTGAACAGTCTTGAAGATATACATAGATCATAGTTAGTACTATAGATTTTCAATACTTCGATAGACAGAATATTAAATTCTGTTGAGAAAGAAGAGGAAAAGTCAGCACTGGACTGAAGCACACACACCCACACACACACACAGATGCACAATATAGACTCACGTCTACGGGATGCACACACGCTCACTGACGTAACTGACCATGGCTTGTGACTTTTCTACCTCAATGTACAGCTCACACATGTCAGTTCGACAGAGAAATCGACTTCCTCACATTTTTCCCACTCCACGAAATCAACGAGTAACAGAACGTCGGACCGCACAAACAGCAAGACTCACAAATTACACATGCACATACTTAGATGTCCAGTCACACCTTTTTTTTCTCATAAAAAAAAGAATCAAGGCTGAAGCGTTTGAAACAAGCATATTAGTTTTTGGTTTCTGCTACTTTGTTTAACACACATGAAGAAATATGTAAAAAAAAAAAAAAAGAAATGCTCAGAGCCCCGTTGATATTGAGGAGCATGCTAGTGGTCGATCAATATGGGTTTTTCAATAACCGAGTCTCAAGACTTATACATTTGGTTTCCCCAGTCCTGAATATTTTGGTCCCATCCTTGGAAACTGGTATAGGCAGACAAAGAGTTCCAGTTGTAAATAAACAAAATAAGCATTATGTGAATTGAAATGCGCCACAAATAAATATACATATGTCGAACAGTTGGTACATATCCACCAAAAGTAGGCTAAACACTTAATAACTGTTACATACTGTATACGGGATTGGTGGACAAAGACACACTCACTCACACACACACACACACACACACACACACACAAACACACCTGTGCAAAAAACAACAAAAAACAAACAAAACAAAAAAATACATCTAGACGTAAATAAAAATTATTTGGGCTCTTGCTTCTGTCATTATAAACCTACAACCGTAACCTAACTTACCCTTACCACACCTGAAAGGAAAAAAAAATTTAAGAAAAAAAGACAATATATCCATAATTAATGATGGATTCAGTCTTTAAACCAAAAACAGATTCATTGAAGTCATACTTACTGTACAAATTCCTGTAATAACAATAAAGAAAATGGACTCATATAAATGTGTGTTGTGTACATGTAAAATATACCTGAAATTGGTCACAAAGCCATAATATAGCAATCTTTATGTATTTAGTTAGTTTTTAAAAAACAAATGATTGTAGAAAAACAATAGATATATTTATGTTAAATCTTCATAAAGTAAATTGAATCATTTGTGCGTCCATTCCTGTTCACATCCCAAACTTCACTGAACAGATATACCAGCATTCAAAAGTTTGGGAGCAGTAAGATATTTTTAGTTTTTAAAGAAGTATTTTATGCTCACCAAGGCAGCATTTATTTGATAAAAACAAACAAAAAAACAAACAAAAACATTGCGAAATATTATTATTTAATAATATAAAACTGTTTTATATTTTAATAAGTGATTACTGCAGTCTTCAGTGTCACATGACCCTTCAGAAAATCATTATTATATGATGATTTGATGCTCAAGAAACATTTCTTAATATTATCAATGTAAAACAGTTTTGCTGCACAGTATTTTTGTGGAAACCATGATATGCTTTTTCCAGGATTCTATGATGAATAGAAAGATAAAAACAGCCTTTATATGAAACAGAATTTGTTTGTAACAATGTAAAAGTCTTTACTGTCACCTTTAATGCATCCTTGCTGAATAAAAGTAGTGATTATCTTTCAAAGAAAAAAAAAAATCCTACTGACCCCAAACTTTTGAATGGTAGTGTACTCATGTAGTCATGAGCTACACACACACACACACATATAAAATGAACAATGGAAAGACAAAAAAAAAAAACACAATCTCAAGAACTTTCCACGTCGGTCAATAAGTCATATGAGCGATGACTGATAACACATGGACGGCAAGAATACAATAAACAACGGCTGTATTCGGAGGCCTGGCCCCACCGTCACACAATACAGGCGGGTAGCAGACTCCTCTGGGGTGAGGTGTGAAGGGAGGTCGGCCGGGGCCCTTACAGGAGCCACGGGCCCGCCGTGTTTGTGCTATATGTCCAGCAGAGGACGATATGTGTCACACGGCATTGGTGATGACAATTGTGTCTCTCTGAGGGCCGCTGGACCCCGAAGCCTCAGGGGTTATGCTTTTTAGCAGACGCTATGGGGGTAAGCAGTGAGAGTGGCACAAAGATTTTACATCATGAACTGTCAAAACATTTAAGCTACTGCGAGTGAAGACAGTAACAGCTCAACTTCAAAGAAATGTCTTAGAGACTGCTTATACAGTAAATGAAAGGATTTCACAACGCACTAAGTGATGCAATGCAGTTCTTTAGCAGTTAAATAGTGAACAGCTGTAGGCTAAAACTCTCCACTGTTAGACCCATAATTAATCACCCAAAACCTGACATGCTAAAAGCTCTGGTAGTTATACATGTATATCACAGAAGCAACAAAGATTAACCTTGTGTCATTTTTCACCATCTGCCAAACACACATCCTGTGACTAAACACACTCTCAAAGTCACTGTATGGATGCATGTAGTGACTGACAGCCATGAGGCCCTTTGATGTCTATCTTCACGCCTCAAACAGGGAAAGTGTACTGATGCATTGCAGCATAATTGTGTTTTTGCTGCTGTAATGTGTTGAAATGTTACGTGATCAGACCATTTACAGTTTAGTCTGTCTTGGCTCACCTGTTTGAAGGTTCCTTTGGTGGTGATCAGATAGTAGACCATGTAGGAAGGCACACAGATGAAGGAGGAGACTCCGATGCAGTAGCCGAGCACTGTGGTCCAGAAAGGGTAGAGGTAGTCAAACAGCTTCACCTCGGGAGGGAATGCCAGGAAACTCACAATAATGAACTGCAGGCATGAAACAATGAGGAAAAAATGAAAGAAAAAAAAAATCTTTACAAAACAGTATTTGCATATCTGACATGCTGGGATCTGTTATCATTTACTCACTCTCATGTTGGCCCAAACATGTATGACTTACCTTTTTTTCTATGTTGGACCTTTTTGACTTTCATTGTAAGGGCAAAAACAGTTGAAACAAATCCTTAAAGCTACACTGTGCAACTCTTTTAGTTTATTCTTAGCTAAAAACACTTAGTTCTTTCAAAAATATATGTGCTCATTAATGTATATTTACTTCGTACAAGTAATAATAAAGTATTGTCGTGAGTGTATAATATGCCATTGAAAATACATACGGGTAAGGGGTTCTAATGTCGGTCGCCATGTTGCCCCTCCATCTTGAAAGTACATTAGCCAAAGAGGGACATACCATTCGTGTTTACGTTCGAGTTAACACTCATGGACGTGGTCGAACTGGAAGCCATGTTAATTTTGGACTACATTGGCCACCGTAGGAGTTAAAACGAAATCGGAATTGAGAGGAACAGAAACTAATATTCACTGGATGGTTATATACCTTTTCACCGCTAGATGGGGGTAAAAATCACAAGAACAAAAAAATCTTCTTTTGTGTTCTGCAGAAGAAAGTCATACATGTTTGGAATGACATAAGGGTGAGTAGACTAAGACAGTATACAAATAATGATGTTTTGGGCCAACAATCTATTTGAATGTATTTGTAAGTGAAAGCAATTTCGGGACTGGATGTATAGCCCAAGCAGCGTAGCATATGCCAAAATCATGGGTATGAAATCTAGGGAATGCATAACCTGATACAATGTATTCATTGAAAGCAATATAGGTTGCTTAGGTAAGCCCATAAGAGCATAAATGTTATGTAATGGACTGACCAATAGGAAGCAGGGACAGATGGCTACCCAGCAGACCCTCCAGAAAATACCAGGGGCAAAGCCAAGCATCAGCTGCACGTCGTTGCAGAAACGTGTCGTCCCTGCAAGTATTTTAAAAACAAACTAAGTGCAAATTGCCTGAAGAGGCATATCATATTACGAAACTATTGAAGTGCATGATAACATTTTGAGACTTATAGATGGTAGGTGGATAAGAAAGAACAGATGGACAGCAGAGAATAAAGTGATAAAATGACTAAACAATTTTATAGTTTGACATTATGACTTCTCTCTCCGTGTAGCAGTGACTAAAAAGAGATTTTCATTGACTCTCATAGGAAGGGGGAAACAGTCCAAAACTAAGAAATACAAATGCTAGGAGGTTTAATAGCAATGCTTTTAGAGAGGAACTGTAATACAAAACTTGTGACATGTCAAAAGTATACATTTCTGGCTCAAGCTTTAAAGCCTCTAGGGATGATCTTGTCTAGACAATTCATTAAGAAACTACATGAGAGTTTGTTTGCTCAGGTTGCGTCAACCCACACGACGGAACAAAATAAATTAAAGGGATGTTTTGAATGATTTAGCTGGAATCCAATACCTACCATAGAACCAGGAAACAGCAATGACCTCGAGGAAGACTACGGTGATAACAGCAGGGCCCGTGGCATACTCCTCAAATAGTTTAACAACAAACGCACCTCCCTACAAACACATTGCGCCAGTATTAAAAGGAATAACAAATGTGCACACTTAGGAAAATGACAATGTTGTTTTGGTAAAATTCCAAGTTTGGTCTCTGGATAATGTTTAAAGACCTCCAATGCAAAGCAAGCTTTGTTAGCTGTGCTGTCTGACTCACGTAGGTGAGAGTCGAGAGGGCGCCCAAATAACAGACACACACCAGGCCGAGAACAAACCATTCTCTTCTTTTGACCAACAGGTGGGGGAACTCATCCAACATGGCTGTAATTACACCTTCCAGACCAGCAAACTGTAGTAAAAAGCAAGAAAAGCAGGGGATGATAGAAAAGTAGGTCAAGGACCCATTGAACCTGTACAGGCATTAATCCAAATAATGCTCCTTACGTTGAAAATAGCACTAACTCTGGTTTTTGACAGGGACAAACATGATAATGAAAGAAAATTAGACTACATATAGAGTTATTCAATTAGCAGACTGTAATAAGCCATGGCTAACATGACTTCAATGTGAGTGTGATCACTATAAGGTAAGGAATGGGTTAAATATGCACACTAAAGACCTAATGTAATGAAACACTGTGGACAATACATCATACTAAATTCAGAGACAATAAGCTGAGTAAACAGGGAAAAAAGCTCATTCATTAAGAGAAAACTGTCTCGAAAGAAAGAAAGAAAGACCGACCGTGCTATCCAGCCCCAGCATAATTATCATGAGGAAGAATATGATGGCGAAGAACGTAGCAGCAGGCATATTGGCAATAGCCTCAGCATAGATGATGAAGAGCAGACTGGGACCTTCAAACACATGCATTCAATCACCACAGGTCCATCAAATGTAATTTCAATGTAAACGGCCATATCACATTGTATGGCTTCTCATCAACTTTCATATGCAATGATTTATTTGGTATTATGGTTTAAATAATCAAAAATTCTCTAATTCGTACTTATTTGAATGGAAATGGGAGCAAGCGTAAAGTAAACGTGGCGCTCACCAGCATCCTTAGCTACAGTCTCCACACCTTGGTGGCGCATCTCTGCCATGTAGCCTAGCACTGTGAAGATCACAAAGCCTGACAGGAAACTGGTCAAACAGTTCACTGAGCTTGTGATCAATGCATCTCTGAAAATCAAAGAGAGATATAAAGATGTGAGCTAAAAGAAGGGACAAATAAGATAACAAACAGGGAGCCACAGGAAAAAAAAGGGAATTTCCCAGCAAACAAATTTAGGTTCTGGGAATTTTTGGTTCCCAGAACGTTCCTAGAGCTTTCTCTTAAGGTTAAGGGAACATTCTTCTTACGTTATAAAAATGGAACCTAAAAATTAGAGCCAGACCGATATATCGGCAGACCGATATTATCGGCCGATATTAGGCATTTTCCAAACTATCGGTATCGGCAGTTATAATGGCGATAAATAAATATTTCAAAAATAAAATAAAAACGGACGATACACGCTTGAACAATGTCATGAGTGTTGGAGTTGTATAGTTTGTCCACCAGCAGGCACTCTACACCGTCCCTGTTAGCAACACTCATTTAGTTGGTCATGAGACATACATTGCTTTAATAACAATTATAAGAACATTCCCATCAGTTCTCTTAACTCAAATAAGCATGACGAAATTTGTGACTATCATGTCCAGTTTTAAAAAAATAAAATAAATAAAATATCGGCCGATATATCGGAATATCGGATTTTAAAAATCACCCTTCATCGATCCTTTATCGGTCGGGCTCTACTAAAAATAACCTACATGGAACGTTCCTATAACGTTCTTGTTTGGTTCCCATAAAAATAACCTCATGGGACCATTCGGGAACGTTAGGGGAACGTTCTGTGTTTGCTGGGTTCTGGAAAAAATAAGAAAATCTGAGTGGTGATTACGAAAAGGTGTTGTGGCAGGTTGTCAGGACATTATATAAACCTGCATAGAAACATGTGCAACAAGTTGCAGGGGGAATAAAAATGGTGTAAGGGAATGTCTGTTCACTGTTCACGTTCTCTTTGTAGTTATGAGAGAAGCCCCTAATTCTTGTTAAAACCTATATTTACTCTTCAAGCTGACCCTGTTAGCCTATGTTTCTTTAGTCATAAGAGAATAATGACAAACATTGTCTTGACCTCTTCCTGAGAGAAAAAAATATCTTATCAGTGTGTTTTTGGAGAGTTTCCTGGTCAGAGCTAGAACTCGACCAACTCCAACCTTGAAGAAGCGGTGTATCTGTGTGTGTGTGTTTATGTTTTAATACACTTTTACTGGCACAAACGAGAGGTGAAATGACCATCTGCAGACATACTGGAGCCAAAAACCTCAGATTGGTGACCTCAGCAGGCCACTTTGTACCTAAACCGGGATTTTGACAGACATCCTAATGATAAATAGGGATATGTTTCGGACAAGCAGTGCCTTGGTCGGAATCATTCAACCTGACGTGATGACGTAGTTAGTGACCTGTGTTAGTGTAGAATTTCAATAATACAATAGAAAATGACGGTATGAATGTGAGGTACTTGTAGCAGTTGTTATGAAAAGGATTGTAGCTGGCAAAGGCCAGGAGAACACCAAATCCTGGACCCAGAGAGAAGAAGATCTGTGCAGCTGCATCAAGCCAAACCTGAAAAAAACACAGATAGAGTGATTTGTCAATAAATATTTTCATTCATCCATATCATATCTGACAGATGATAAGAAGTAGTATGTGTTTAGGAGGAAGACAGACACAGATTGTGCAATATCTTAGTATTCAAAAGGGTTGAATTAGTTTCCACTCACTGAAGTGGTTAGAAGTTTGCTCCAATCAGGTTTCAGGAAGAAGATCACTCCTCTCCAAGCTCCAGGCAGGGTGGCCCCTCTTACCAACAGGATCAGCAACACCAGGTATGGAAAGGTAGCAGTCACCCACACTACCTACCAGAGAGAGTCGTGAAGAAACTGCTAAACAAAGGGTGCAACTGTTGAACAACAATCTAAAGTCAAGGTAGCTATTTTTACCCTTGCCTTGAGGTTTTCTGTATATCTTACCTTGCCAGATGTCTTGACCCCCTTCCAGATGCTGAAGTAGACAACAGTGAAGATGAACAACAGACACAGGGCTAGCTGCCAGCTCACCCAGCCCAGCTGATGAAGACCAGGAGACAGATGAACCTGCAGCACCTGCCGTCTAAGGACATGAGGGAAGTTGGCTACCAGTTTATAAAGGTATGCCTGTAGTATATGATCAATAAGTTAGGACAACATGTTTTTACATCGCTTTAACTCGTCAAAATTAGTCAAGCAACTTTTTTTTTATGAGTTATACAAGATTCAACTTGTTTTTATGTGAGGTTAATGTAATTTAAGTTGAAATTACTTGATTGTACTCCTTAAAATGTAAGGGGTTGATTGTACTTAATTTAAGCAGCAACTTTTTCTTTACAGTGAAGGTGATCTTTCAGGAAAGGACTGATGAGTGCAAGACAGTTAGATAAAAACTAGGAGCAACATTTATCCACCTTATTCCTGACGAGCTTACTGCGTTTTGAATTATGGGCGGCACTTCGGGTTTAGGGAACGTGACGTTACAATAAGAATATCTAAGAGCTTGTTTCGGTTGCTGCATTCATTTCTTCTTGATAATTTTCTTTTTCCCTTTGCATTTCGCTATAATAGTATGATAAAATGTCAACATATACAGCACGTTTGTGGTCTGTTTTTCGATTTAGTTTACGACATATCCCATTAATAATTCACTGGAATGGAATCTGAAAATTACGGAAATCACTATGAAATAGTATTACGCAATGCTGAAGTTAATGAACATTTTTGATTAAGGCAACGTATGTTACATACTACAGATATGTATTACTGATATTTAACCCGTGGAAAGAATATTGCTTTTTGGGGTTATTTATGTTATCTTGTTGAAAGTACCTTGTTGATGCACTTTTAAATGTCGATGGTTGAAGCGTGAGTAGAATAATATCATCTCATTGTACCCAACGTACAGAAAAAAACATTAAAAAAAGAAAAACGTATAATTCCGTAAATAAAGCGAGCCTTTCATTGAAGTTACACTCATAATTTGAGCAAAGCGTCATGGGGCGTGGGAATAAATGGATATGGAAAACAAAATAAAATCCCTAAATCTCGCCTAAAGCAGAAGATACAAAACCCATTCCCCCTGCATCTTTCAGGATCTTCCTCTTTCAAACACAAAAGTCTCTTGATGGTACATGAAGCCTGATGAAACTAAGGCAAAGTTCTTAGTTTCTATCCCTTAAAACCTGGACTTGCATTTGCATGCACTTACATATAGAACTCCTCAGCAGGAGAGATGGAGTTTTCGGTCCAGGACACATTCAAGTCGGTGGACAGGTAGCGGGTGCAGTTGGGAGTGTTCCACCGGTTGTTGCAGGTGGTCCAGGGCAGTGTGGTGTGAAAGGAGGACAGGAGGTAGTAGAGAGCCCAGGCCATTATGGTATTGTAGTAGAAGGCAATGTAAAGTGCAATGATGCAGATGGCAAAGCCTATACCTGGAAAAGAACAGGAAAAACAAATATCTAACTTACAATTTAGGGGAGTGGGTGACATTTAGGACCAAGTTGCATTTACATATAATTAGGGTTCTTAAAGCAGCTGGCATTTTACCAGGTAAATGTGACAATTTCCATAACAGAGTCCTGGCTATCAACAAAGAGAGAGTGAAATCGGTAAGACGTTTAGAAGAATGTCAAGGGAGAGTGTACTATCAGCCCCCCACATGTCAGTCTGCCACTATCTGTCTGAGTGTTGTTAACCCGGGTCCTCTGTCTCAGATGTCTGATTCTTGTGAAGCGAACCCTTCTTACCCTTGAAGATGGGGCAAATGTGTTTCCAGATGGAGATACACCCACTGCGGTGAAACTGGCCCAAAGCCAGCTCCATGTAGAACAGAGGCACACCACCAAAGACAGCCATCAGCAGGTACGGCAGGAGAAAGGCACCTGAAGCAAAGGGATTTACACAGGAAGTGCAACTTGAACTTCACGGTTCCATAACACATCCTGAAAGCACCATTATACTTACAAAAACAGCATAAAAGGCGCTAACATACACAAAACGTTCCTGTTCAGACAAGCCCTCTGTGCTTGATTAAAGCTTTATACTTGAGCGTTTGACGTGAACGCTAGATAGATGTTGATTGAGTAGCAGTGAGCCAGATTATTAAACAATATGACAAAGTCCCACCCACGAGAGCCACAATTATTGGCGTTGGATGCGACGAGTGTCTCCTTGCCCACTTTATCTCTCATGCACTCCCCTTGCATGGTGAAACAGGAAATTACAAAGATTTTATTACTTCAAATTCAATGAAAGGAGACTAAAGCCTGTTTGCACTGAAGATGCGAGCTGGAACGCACAAAGAGCGGAGACAACACCAGAATTCCCCATTGTCTATTTGTTAGTTTTAAGCAAACAGTACCTAGTTGATCTTGTCTTTTAGACAGGAATCTTTCTTTTAATGGGATGCGACACAATATTTGTTTAACTCCACTAGAGTGCATCACACTTCTCTGTCTCAGTGTTGCCTGCAGCTTCAGTAGCCCTATTGCCTATTGACCTTACCCCCTCCGTTTTGGTAGCAGATGTAGGGAAAGCGCCACACATTGCCCAGGTCCACTGCATACCCGATCACCGACAGCAGAAAGTCCATCTTTTTGCTCCAGGTTTCCCTAGGTGGATCCAGGCTGGTCTGCTGGACCACCAGTGTCCTGAATGTTCCAGGGGTGCTGCCCCTGTCCATCCCAGCACCTGCACCTTCCCTGGGACTTTGTGGGGATGTGCTGGGATAACCGTTGGAGACCTGCCCAGACCCGGAGCAGGATTTCAGAGCGCTGTCCGCGACCAGCCTGCCGTTCTCTTGCGACTCCTGTTCTTTCTCCTGCTTTCCCCCGTCCTCTTGATCCATCATCATTGGTTGTTTCATCTCCATGGTGAGGACTGCTGTTAGGGCTGAGAAGGTGGTCCTCTTGCACTGGCTGATATCGTGCCCATGAGGGGATAGAGAGCCTGGAGAAGAGGGGCTGGGTGTGGAACAGAGCTGGCTGGGATGGAGACAGCAAGGAGAGGGGGACTGGTCCTTAACCTGTATGTTTTAACGAGCTCAGGTTGGAAAACAAGGAAGGACAGCTCAGGGCCAGCTGCAGAACAAAAAGAGGGGAATTTGACACGGATTTACCCCAGTCATTCATTCTCATAATAAGTGGTCTTAAAAAGTCATACATCATCTTTGACAGAAAAAAAAATATGTTGTTTTGCAAGGTTTCTGAAGATTTTGATAAATATACCCTTAAAACATGGCTGTAAAATGCGAAGTGAACTCTGTACATGCCACAGCGACTCTAAGGCTTTAGGGAGATGCCAAGACACATATTTATTCTCACTATGCCTGTCACTTATGATACTCAAATTACAATAAGAGACTGTACCCGATGTTACACACAGATAAACCAAAAACTTGCACTTAACCCAACCTTGACACTAATTCTTCAGAAGATCTTAAATTTGCTGGTACATATACATTTCAATATGTGAGAGTTAAGTAATACCAAACATGACAACATGTTGAACTCATGTAAAAGATAGACTAATAACAACTATTTTTATTTGTGTTTAAAGACAGAAATAAATGGTCAAACTTGCTGATCAATACCAATCAATCCATCAGTATTCAATACAAATATATATTATATTGCGTTTTAATAAAATTGTGATTCAATGTCTAAAATTAGCTGGAGTAAGTTGCTTCCAGGACCTGCATTTCTTTCAGCCTAGCGTTCTCTAAAAGCTGTTTGCAATTTCTAGTTGAAGTTGAGGAGTAGTGAGGCAGGTGGGCAGAGCGACCAGAGTGAGAACTTATTAACAAATACATCAAAACATAATGATTATAATAATGTCAGGAATAATTGAAAGGGGGGGGGGGGGGGGGGTAAGTAATAATTATTATTACTATAATTATAAACAGCTAACCCATTTCATTTAGTTTCCATCAGGGGATATTTTTTTTCTTGCCAAAAATGTTTATTATTTATTCAAAGTGAATAATTTGTTCCGCTAAAACACATTTTGAAAAAAAGACAAATGCTATTAATGATTTTATGAGGGCTGTGGAGAAGGTGGAAAGCGTTACGCACTATTAAAATCAGACAAAAAGTGAAATGTTAAAATGTTTGCACATATCCAGCATGGCAACTTCTCAATACAATTAATTTGAATGTAAAAGTTGAATCGTCAAACATGACTACGCATACTGGAAAATTACACTTTTTTTTAATATGGAATGATTAATTGCAAAAAAAAGTTAAATTATCATGCCATACTATCAATCATCTAATTAAAACTGTAATTGTATTTCATTTGAACTCCCTCCACTCATTCTCCACATTCAAGCTTGTATCACAAGATAAAATAATAAATAACACTAATTTACTAGTTTTAACCCTAACCCTAGGATGGTTTTCTGGACAAAGATTATCTGATTGGCAAACCGCCTGATTTTTATTATTTACAGCTGTATCTCTTTGCTACTTTCCGCCCGCTCTCCTTTGCACACACTAAATCAACCCACAAACCGTCTCTCTTTTACAAACCCTAAATCAACCCTCTTAATGCTGAGCGTCTAGGACACTTTGTCTCATTTTTTTCTTTCTTTTCATAATTCATAATTATAGATAATATGCAAGGTCAAGATCAGTGCAGCTTTGTTGTGGTAGGAGTTTGTTCGGTTACCAGGATCACAAGATTACCAGGACCTCAAGCCAGATGTGTGTAAAATAGTGCATTACTTCACTATCTTCATTATTACACATTTGATATGCACATAAATGCCAAATGAAATAAAGTTAATTTGAACAGTTTTACAACCACTAGATATTGAGATAAAACACTTCCAGTCTCATTCTAGCATCATTAGACCTAATAAAATGTCAAAGTAATTCTTGGTTTTCAAAAACCTCCAGTACAGCAGAACTAATGAACTTAAAATGTCTGTTGAAGTACAACTTGACGGTTTCACAGCACTACATAAATCAACAAAAAACTTTGGACAAAGAATCAACAACATACACGGAAACATCAAAACGCCTCCTGTTACACATGCAGGCGCGTACAGACACACACAAGCAAAGACTTGCCACCCCAGTTTGCTTCATTAAAACACACACGCAGCCACAAACACCATGCACAGTGCAACCCTACCGTGCTGCAGTTGAGCAGTTCTGTGGGGGTCTGTGTTAGGGTGGTGACCAAAACCATCCCTGGAAGCCCAACACTCAAGACACACCCCCTTCACGCCTGCTCGCTCTCTTTCTCTCACTCACTCTGTCTTCCTCTACTTTTTCTGCTACCAAACTTGCTTTGTGGTAGTCACCTTTAGGCACTTCAGATGTAGTCACAAAGAATTAAGCTCAAAGATATAATTATGACCCCTACTACCAAGCATCTGTTCATGCAAAACACAAAAGGCATGAATGGAGAACTCCAGTCCTCATCACATGCGTATCCACATAGTATTTATATGTGTCAAAAGAACCCTGACCTACATTCTCAAAATCCCACTAAGATATTTGACTTACTTAATTGACGTCAGGTTTAAGAGGGACTGCATATTAGTTTAAAACACATGCAGGTCGAAAGTTTGGATACACTTACTGATACATTTTCGAATAATAGTAAAGTCATCAAAATTATGAAAACAAAAATGAATCGAGTTGAGTTGAGTTTCTATGGTGGACACTTGTTACCCGTTTTTTCCTTTATTATCCGGTCCAACACACACACACACACACATACGTATAATTTATATGTGTGTAATATATGTAGACATAAGAGAAATGTAAAATCTAGTCAAGTGTCTAGACTTTTGACTCAATTTTTGTATCGATTTCAACTGCCTTTTTAATTACATGCAAACACTGACCTTGTTGGGAAGCTCACTGCAATAGACTAAACAGTTAAAATATAGGCCTTGTCTGTCAATTAATCTTCTAAGTGCCATGGCAAATAAGTGAATTACGCACACAGTTGGGAGTCTAATTGTAAACAAGATTTTAGAGATAAATATGAACACGCAACATGGTTTCCACATTGACTTTTAAGCTGTAACATTAGATGTAAACAATAAGGTTGAATCAACAGAGAAAGATAAATATACATTAACCTTCGGTTCTCCTGTACGATCTGCAATCCAGAAATAACATAACTTAGTGATGGACACAATACATATCTATTACCTTTTGAAAATTAAACGTCATGACCAACAACACAACTGACTCTTCAGTATGAACCTTTCAAATACAGCAAGTTGTTCTTCTGTTCTTTTCTTAGCATAGTTTATTCAAATGCATTGTATGTTTGAATGAAAGCCATCGCCTTGGGCACTATAGGCTACACGCATGTTGCGTTTTCATGTTTCATGGAAACTTTCCATAGACAGAATGATTTTTATACTGTACAAACTGTATATTCTATACCACTACTCTACCCCTAAACCCATCAAATAAAACTTTTTGCATTTTTACATTTTCAAAAAGCACCCATATAGACAAGGATTTTGGATATTTCCATATTTGTGGGGACATTTTGTTTTCAAGGACCACACACCAACACACAACAAATAAAAAAATGATAAGATTTGCATTTTCGAACACATGTAGGTCAAGCAGCATCCAGTCCTATAAATAAGTGTGAAGTAATTTATGCAGATTTGTTTTTAGAAAGTAAAAAAAGAAGAATTTCTAACCGTTTGCTGCATTACTAAATGAAAGTAAAAGTGATTTTCGACGTGCAATCTGTCAAAATGCACTTTGAGCCATGGAAGTCATAACAAGTTGTGATATGAAAATCAATAATAAAGCGTTAGAAAAAGACAAAGGCTATGTGTAACTTAGTGCTTCATCGACATAAAAGGATCAAACTGAGGACCTAAAACTGATCAGATGATTCTAAGGTGATTTTTTTTGTGGGTATATGTCTCAAGTCCTAAAAGTAAAAGTGTACTGCGTCACATAAATATTCCACTATGTTCAACAAAGTTGTCCCAGTTGTTGTATCACTTAAAATCGTAGTTAGCATCTTTTTGTTTCAATGTATGCCATAATCTGAGCAGAAAACTAGACAGTTGGCACCTTTACTTAAGGTCTTATTGTTGTGATTGTCCGTAGCCGGCAGATCGCACAGAAGACGGGACAGAGGGATCAGATTCAGGACAGAAGAAGGGGTGCTGGCTGATGACAGCACAAACGGGTAGAAGGAGACAGGACGTTTAATAAATAAATAATATAGAAAATACAGAGAACCACCTCAGGTGAACAGCATCACAGATCTTATTATTATATATAGGCTATATATATAGTTACCTCGATAAAACCGTTCTGAGGTGTGTTCCAGTTTCTTCCATAGCCTACTATTCAAATAATGTCAAATCTTTTACTTTTTCTAGATTTATCTGAGAGTTCCTTCTATCTGCTTTCGTATTGAAATAAATGCTCTAGTCTCTAGACATGTGTTGGGGAGAAACAGTGTCCTCTACAGAGCATTGAATACCTGCAAACAAGTTATCCACGCCGTTTTTACCTGCAGTCCGCGTCCCGCTGTAGCCTACTACAAACCACGCCCCTGCGAATTACGCCTGCCTGCCTACTCCCGCGAAGAAACATGCTGGGATGTCATTATCTGATTCTAAAGCAATCTTTTGAAGTAAATTTTTTTTTCTTTATTTAAATGTATAAAATGTTTTTTAAGACAAGCGTATATTGCTTTAGAATTGCGAAATAAAGTAAATTAAGTGTGAAATAACAGCTAGTTGTAAAACATTAAATAAAATATACAATCGAATCAATACATGGTAATTATAGCTAAAAACCTACCCCTTCTATAAAAATAAAATTTACTGTTGAGTTTCATTATTAAAATAGCCTACTTTAAAAACTGATGAAAACAAACAGGACAACTACGGCGTCTGGTAATCTAGCTATGGTTAATCTGAATGGTTTATTATAGGTGGCGATAGTGAATCTTAAAAACCAAGAACAACTGAAGTAGAAGAAGAATAGGATATTATGATTATTATTATGGTGTTAATTACTGTGGGCGTGGTTTGTAGAATTGCGAGACGCCGCTGGACTATTTTACAGGTACAAAAAATATCTTCACAAATGAAAGGTAGATCATAGATGCAATATATTACTAGTCAATAATTCATCAAAATACAAAAACGGTGACCTACCTTACAGATGTCAAGTTGAGTTCTACAGCTCATGGTAATTTGATGTTTTTGCAGCATCTCTCAGGTTCCACGGTGGGAGGGGACAATACAAACTATTTTCCCCACTTTTAAGCACGCACACACTGTTAAGCTCATTAATAATGTAAAGCACCAAGAATATTTGCTGAGGATCTTTCATCCAGTTTTTCTTGCCCATCAAGATCATATCTCAATCGTTCCCAATAATCTGTCTTGGTCTTATAGCTAGATGTAATAGATGCTACAAACCTGTTTTAAATCTCCAAAGGCAAACACATAGCCTACGCGGCACACAGACAGCTCTTCTTGAAGAACCAAACTTCTTTGACATATTACAAACACACTTACAGTGTGTTTGAGAACACAGAGTCTTTCCAATCTGTCTGAGCTAGTAGGATAATCCGCAACAAGTCCAATGAACTGAAAAGCAGCAGGGAAACATAGGGGTGGGGTGGGGTGGAGGTATCTAAACTAGGTGAAACAGATTTTTAAGGAGAGAAATAAGAAGCTTAGGTTGTGTCTGTGACCAATGCACTCCCCTTTAACTTTCCCTCTAACAGTGGCAGATTGGGATGTGAAAGAATTAAGGGCACACTCATCCAGTCAAGAGTATCTTCCCATTTCAACACCAAGAGAGTTCTTGGAATTACTCTTTGTTGGGATGAGGACTCAGAGGCATAATTGTTCAATGGAACAGCCAACAAAAAGGTACCGTTCCTCAGAGGTCTTTTAAACCCCTTCCAGTTTTTAATCTTTTGTGAGGCCCTGGTATTTCCACAGTCTTCGCAAAGTTCAAAAAGATACCATCTCTCCACGGTAGTGGAAAAATTGTATTAAATCCATGCAAAATAGTCTGATAATATCATTTTATGTTGTTGGAAGGCATTCAGTTTAAGAGTCTTAAAGAGACACTTTGCCGTTTTGAGGCATTTAAAAATGGAAAAATCTAAGTCACACAGAGGGCAAATTGGTTTGGCAAAATAAAAACAATACATTTAATTAAATACAATTATTAAGAAATTTGTACCAAAATGTGCAGGTCTGTAATTAGGACATTAGCCTGATTCTCAACAGACCATGGTTTGTGACTTTTTAAAAATCAATTTTAATATCAGAAATGCCTATATTAATGGTCTTCTAAGATAAAATTTGTTGTTATTGCTAATGAAAAAGAAAGTAAATTAAAACACATGTGTTCTTGTTTAGATCAAAATAAATGCTAAAAATATTGAATAAAGACTCAAAAATAAACAAAAATATTAGACATATGACCATGAATTAATTTTAGTTTTTGATACTCACGTTATTATAACATTTTAAAACTTTACAACCTGCCTGCATTATACATAACATTTCTACTTTAGTGAAGACACCGTGGACAGCCCTGAAAACTTAGAATAATGTATTAACGTAGCCAAAAGTATTTGTATATATATATATATATATATATATATATTTTAATAAAATTGTAAAAATAAAAAAATAAAATATTAAATCATATATATATATATATATATATATATATATATATATATATGCGCACTCAACTCAACTATGAAACAGTTAATATCGAGTTAGGTGCATGATTACAAAAGATTGTTTATGACATTGTGGGTGAAATTAAGAGCCATTGACTCCTCTTAATTAGATATAACACAGAGATGCTGACTCAACTCAATTTGTTCAAGTTAATAACAAATCGATCTACAGTAGTCAACATTTGAAGTGGTTCAAAACCTTTCATCAAAGTTATACATGAATTTTAAACAATACCCATTCTTGTCTAGGACAATTTTGATGCACTTTTTTAATCCACTTCATATGTTGACTACTGTATTATATGTCCCTTAAAACTGGCTTTAAATGAAGAACATTAGGATTTCATATGTAACATTTTCTGAACCCATATTCTAATATGAACTCCAGCATATATAAACTCCAGCATATAATATCAAAGATAAATCAGCCATGTCTGACATCCTGTCTGCTGGCGGTACCCTTTGCACTTAGGATGTTGTTGTAGGGAAATTGTAAGTCAAGGCTAATCCATAACAATTATTCATAGCATTTTTCTATTGATGTCCATTCAAAAACATTTACACTACTTTTTGGGTTCGGTAAGATTTAAAATTTTTTTTGAAAGTCTCTTATGCTTACCTAAGCTGCATACATTAGATCAAAAATACAGTAAAAACAGTTTCTATTTAAATATATACTTTCTACTTAAATATATGATTCCTGTGATCATTATTACTTCAGTCTTCAGTGCCACAACTCTTTCAGAAAGAATCCATTCTAATATGAAATATTTCTTATTATCAATGCTGAAATTAACTATAAAAAAGAAAACCTACTGACCTCAATCCTTTGAACAGTAGTGTAATATATCTGAAAGATTCCGGAATAAAATAGAGGAATGCTAGCAGTTGACCGGCGCATTGAAATGACTCGTCACTCAGACTCCACTGATAATAAAAAAGAGACAAAAAAACTTTATTTTTTTTTTATCTAGATCAGGCTTTTTGTGAGAGATGATGGGAGGGTTAAAAACCAGCTGGAGGCGTTGTGAAGCCTTTGGCTCCAGTGGTTAAGCCAGGGCTCCCATGGGGTCCCAGGCCGGGAGGACGACGGGGTCTTGCTGCATGACGTCCAGCACTTCAGGTGGGATGAAACTCTTATCCACCACCACCTCATATACATACTCAGTGAACCACTCGTCTGTCATGATCAGATATCCTGCAGGAAGAGGCAGAGATGAGGCACGGCCAGTCAGAGATAAACGGGTAAAATGAGCAAAAGAAGGAAAAATATATTTAATTTGGAGCAGCAAAAGCTCTCTTCAGACTGCCCAGCACACTAGGTTTGGACAGAACTCATGCTCAGCTAATTAAACTTGTAATTAAGAAATATATGACACTATAAAGTCTCGGCCTGAGAGATGTCCGATTAAGTGCCCGCCTCGTGAGACGGGATTTTTCGTCACACTCTGAAAGCCGATTAGGCTTGTGAGTAAAACTTAAACAGCAAACAGTGTTTAACCAAATCTCAAATGAAATCCTGATCCCATTAGTGCGGCATGTTCTTCATTGTTCCTCACAGAGGGAAAGAGCCACACCCTGTCTTAATCGCCCGTCTGTTATCACCTCTCCAAACTGACAAGGTTTGATTTTAAAACAAGCAAACACACACACATTTGAACATTTTTTTTTTATTCAGAATGTGTCTGACAGAGGTTCCCAATAAAGCCAGTTCCTTTCTTAATTGCTTCAAGAAAGCAACCATTCTTGACATAAGGAAAGTTTTCCCCCGCTAAAAGCAGGAAGTAAATGTCGATAAGGATTATTTTACACAGCCATGTCCGGATGACTAAGACGCAATAAAACAGAAGAAAAACACCTAGTGAAAGAGAGCAGAACAAGTACTAGAACAAATAGAGCAGTACAGTTTGAATTTCTATGTGCATCGGTACCTCAGCTCAATGCTTTGGTAATTAAAGTGTGATTTTTTTCCCCTCCAAAATACTTGTGAATGGAGCTTCATTTTTCGACTTTTAATGAGCCTGTGCCAAGCCGCAGTGGCAAATTGTTCTAAATCTGAAGAACAAACTGATTTTTGCTGCAAAACATCACATTTATTTATGAAGCAAGCAGTCTTTGTATTTGCAATAGAAATCATATATTCCTGGGGGACATAAAGCATCTGAAAGAATATTTATCTCTATCCATCACTCCACTTTTACACCCATAAAATCTACAAGCTTTAGGGCCCCCAGTGAGCCACTGAACATTCGGTCAAAATCAGTTACACAAACACCCCTTTTCAAACTCTCGTTCGTGCCACAGTATGTAAACAGCCAAAAAAAGGTAGGAATGAGGCAGAAATACAGCCCAAAGCCTGCCCTGTATGCCCCCAGAAATGCCAACCCGGCCCCACTGAGTATATCATGTTATTGTTTAATCTTCAGGGGAAACAACTGTTATGACCAATTTGAGAGCCCTTAACCCCTTCAACCTCAACAACACATTTTTTAAATTCCCCTTCTCGTCTAACTGTCAAACAATATTGCTTGAAAACCACAAAGTCCTGATTTATGTGCAGCTGTGATTTTTGAGTTCATAAACAGCTGTGATTAGGTTCTATTTGTCATGTATTATTAATACGCAGTGTGCTGTATGAGTGCTGTTTTATAAGACATTGGCAGGTGTTTCTATGAAAGTCAGCGGGTCAAAGGA